TGAAAAGGTGGTGTCTATTTACTTGTGACCATGCTGTGTATTTTAGTCTAAGAAAATATGAAATTTCAAGAGACTAAAGACACACCCTACCTCCTTGAAATATTGGTTGAAAAGAAAGAAATGGCATCCTAAGAATTTAAAATGGCTGAGAAAGCCACTAGGGGGACATTCTGAGCTTCCGATTGGTTATTCATGTCATATATAAAAGTGTATATAAGTGAGGTTCCAAAACTGGAAAGAGGTGGGTGGGGTGCCATTGTGATTGATTCATTAAATGAGCAATATCTTAGCAAATAGAAAAGATAAGACCTTATTTCATTTTTTAGCTTGTCAATATCAATAATTTGAGTTCCTAATTCATACAAAACTATAGATTTTGACTTCACAAACATCTAATTTGAACCAGTGCTGCATTCAACATACCATGTGACACACAAAAATTGATGTTTATCTGTTTTTTTAATATATGCTTTTAAATTAAGAAATTGAGTAATGTATAATACTAAAATTTGAATTATAATCTACAATTTGATACCAAACTTATTGAAATAAATTCATGAAATAGTAGTTCAATAAAATTTTGAATGCGAGTCAACAAATGAGATGACATGGCCTTTCACCTGTGACCTGTCTCGAGAGGTTTAGTGCCCAACAAGTTAACATGTTTTGAGGTCTACTACAATACAACTATACTGAATCAAGCAGATTTTATTACATAAAAATGTTTATGATAGAGTTCCAAAAAAAATCTTGAAACATCTGCAAGAAAATGAAATAACTTATACATAATTTAGTATACAGTTGAACATTATAGTCACATATAAAACCTTCTTGTCATTACACAATCAGCCAAAGTATACATGTTTGATAGGCATCAAACACTGTTATGCAATTAACCTATAAAATACATTTGTTCTGTTTGAAATACCTCTACTCACTGACTTTTGACCTTTATCCTGCTTAGAAAGCAAACTGTGTTGGGCGTGTCTCAATGGGAAGAAAACAATGTAAAAAATGGGTTACCCCACATTACTTGTGCAGTACACTTGTTACTACATGTACAGTATATGCAATAGCTTAGTTTTTTTCACAACTAGATAAAAACTTTTAGAACATTAGTACTTTATAAACATAACCAAATCTAGCTGATACATATATGAT